GGGTTTTTGTTGCTGGTTCGAACTCCTGACTCAAGCCATCGCCTGCTCGGCTCCGAGTGCTTAGATGTACAGGGTGACCCACACGCCCGCCTAATTTTTATTTATTATTGGCCATTGATTTATTGTTTGTATAGAGACCGGGGTCTCGCTTTGTTCGGCTGGTTGTGAATCTAACTTGGAGCGATCGGCCTGCTCAGCCTCAGAGTGTCGGGGATTATAGGTGTGAGCACGGACGCCCGGCCAATGTGTTTATAAATGAGAGGGTCTACAGGTGGCAGCCACAAATTAGCATAGAGTCCGTATCCTATGATACTGCTTTAGACAATTTGTTATAACTGGTTGAATACAAGAGTGTATTCATTCTATAGAAGGAAAAACTGACGTATAGGTTTCACAGCCTATTTAAGTAGATACTCAGCCTTGCTGATCCTAGTTGAAGCTGTTCCTTTATAGGTACATCCTACATGATTCGTCAGGAATAAAAGATGTGTGGATGCATGAAGTTGAGTGTAAGTTAGATGAGTGTGGAATCGTATGAGATTCAGGAATATCCTGATCGGTGATTCAGATGGCGATCAGAAGGAATATAGCTTTGTGTTCTGCTCCTGTTTGGCAGACCCACTCCCCGAAGCTCCATGGTGGGAATTATTTTGAGGGCAGTTTCTTCCCAGCAAAGTAGAATCGTACTATCAGTGGCTCCCTGCCTTTCTTCGCGTGCTTCTCAGTTTGGATAATTTATACCTTCTACAGGATGTTCAAGGGAAACATTCATAAGATATACGTGTCTAATTTTGATGGTTCTTAATAGATGTGCCTCAATCAGTGCCTTCTCGAATCAATACGGCTTGTCTTCCTATACTTTAACTAGCGTCTTAACTGGGATGGACTGAGATTAAACTAAAATTTAATGCTAGAGAGAGGCAAGGAAGTATGGAAGCTTGGATTTTTTCTACCCTTGATCTGGTCCAATTACCAACCAGATGCACAAAAGGTTACCCTGTTCGGCGTGTATCCAAGTCCATGAAGGCGGCTGGATGAGGTTAACCTTAGCTGCCTTAAGTTCCTTTCGTTGCTTCGAAGTTCCTGTCCTGGCCCCTGGACCTTCCTGTGACATCAGTGAGTTTTAGAGTAACTTCTCCCTGGAATAAAAGGGAAGAGATTAGAGGTCACAATTCCAAGATAGGCACCAGCTGAATTTATGCAGCTGTGATGCTTGTCGTTGGGACTCTTGCTTCAAATGGGTCATGGTTGATGGATGAGACTTTTCCTACAAATTCAGGAGATTTGATCAGTAGATAATGAATAACAATAAAAACAAATATTTATTGAGTGCTTTATGAGTACAATTAATATGGCACTGAGCATTTGTTGAGAGTTGTATCTATTGCAGAGCATTTAAGACTTTGGAATCATATATTTATTCATTTAATTCTGATTAACGTAGTGAAGTGATAACGTATTATGCACCCAGTTTTAATGAGGAACTGAGAGGTCCCAAGAGGATAAATATGTTGCCAAGGTAAGCAGCGGGGTGGGAAGATGGTGGGCTGATTAAAGTCACAGTAGGTTAATGCGTATTCTGTTGGACCATTAAGGAGCGACTTTACCAGTTGGCTGTCAGCTGGATAGGGAGTTCAAGGCATGAGACTTCTTATGCTTCTTAGAGTGAGAATAGATAGATAAAAAGGGCCACACGAGTAAAACTAACTGTCGATAAGTGGCTCATAGCGTGGATAATAAGGTGGCTCTAGAAGGAGTGTGCCAATAATAAATGGGAATAGAGTGGAGATCATCCTCACTTATACTCAGAAGACATGTTTGGTGTGTTGACCATGTCTCTACTAAAAATAGAAAGAAATTAATTGACAACTAAAAAATATATATACAAAAATTAGCCGGGCATGGTGCGCATGCCTGTAGTCCTAGCTACTTGGGAGGCTGAGGCAGGAGGATCACTTGAGCCAGGAGATTGAGGTTGCTGTGATCTAGGCTGACGCCACGGCACTCACTCTAGCCTGGGCAACAAAGTGAGACTCTGTCTCAAAAAAAAAAAAAAAAAAAAAAAATAAATAAATATATATATATATATATATATATAGAAAAAATTAGCCTGGCATGGTGGTGCATGCCTGTCATCCCAGCTACTCGGGAAGCTGAGGCACAAGGATTGCTCGAGCCCAGGAGTCTGAGGTTGCTGTGAGCTAGGCTGATGCCACTGCACTCTGTCCCGGGCAACATTGAGTGAGACTCTGTCTCAAAAAAAGAGAAAACACTTGGAGAAGCTTCTGGGCTAAGTAATCCAATATGGGGACAGCTTTTCTCCTCTAATCCAAATGTTTTTTGATTCAAGGCAATTGTTGCCTTATATTTCCCAAGGCATTGTATTTGTTTCCAAATTAGTTTTAAATTCCTTTTTTTTTTTTTTTTTGAGACAGAGTCTCACTTTGTTGCCCAGGCTAGAGTGAGTGCCGTGGCGTCAGCCTAGCTCACAGCAACCTCAAGCTCCTGGGCTCAAGCAATCCTCCTGCCTTAGCCTCCCAAGTAGCTGGGACTACTGGCATGCACCACCATGCCAGCTAATTTTTCTGTATATATTAGTTGGCCAATTAATTTATTTCTATTTTATAGTAGAGACGGAGTCTCACTCTTGCTCAGGTTGGTTTCGAACTTTTGACCTCAAGCAATCCGCCCGCCTCGGCCTCCCAGAGTGCTAGGATTATAGGCGTGAGCCGCCCGGTGAGGCCAGTTTTATTTCCTAATTCCTT